AAATTAGGGCTCTTAAAAATGCTAATAATCTAGGATCTCAAAATCTGCTTTTCGTCCCCTCTTTAGTTTAACGGTTTACAAAATGAATGCAACAATTCAACAAAATGTAACGTTGCTGTCATATTCTAAGGCTCAGATTACTTTCAGCTGTCCACAACTGCATTATATTCCCCTTTTCCAAAGTTTTGTTTTTTGAAGGCTAGGTCTAATGTCATGGTTTTATACAATTTTTAAAAATCTTTAGTTTCACACTAAACTTTAAAATTCTGGAGGAGAAAGAGAGAAAACAGTTGATTGTAATATTATAGCGATGTCAACGTGTGCAATGTTGAATCAGTCAAAGGAGACTCTTTTAAGAAGATGAAGTGTTGTGACCTAGTGCTGGCCAAATTGGGAACAAATGACACAATATTTAAGCTGTTCCTGGCAATTCAACAGTGATGAGACCCAGAGGTTAGAAAGAAACAGGGAAGTGAGGAATTAGAATGACTCCTCTATACCCTCTGACACAGACGCTGCTGGACTATGGCATCCCCACAGCTTGACTAAAGAAAATCTTGCAAAAATGATGTTGTTACACAGGACTGCTGAGAAGAGTGCCTTACGCAGTGTGCAAAGCCAGAGGTGAACAGATATGTTAGTAAATGCTTCGGGGGGTGGGGATCTTTCAGTTACCTGCCACCATACTGATCTCATATGCAAACTAGAGAAACCAAATTGACAGAAGATTCTTTTAATAAAACATGGCTGCGCTTAGTTCTTTTGCCACAGTGATAACTACTACCTACTGGATTGTGGGTGTGTGATAAACTTGCCCATGCTTGTACTAGGAACAATGTGTAACTGAAGTGACATGGCACAACCATAGTTATTTCATCCACACTTATGTCGATTCATGAAGAAAACAGACTCAACACAAACCAGCATTCTGAACATAAATTGCTAGAGTGCTTAGTTGCAGGTACCTGTGGGCGAAACTACTGGGAGCACAGAAATCTAGAACTGAGTTCAGCGACACAGCTTTGATGAGAGAAATCCATCCTTCAGATCTTCCATCAGCTTTATTATAAGGGGATATTTATTGATTTTATCATTTACTTCATTCAGACTTTGCCTTTCTCCCTCATGGAGACCCACAGCAACTCACATTGTTCTCCTTTTCTCCATTTTACCTTCACAAAAACCCTGTGAGGTAGGCCAGGCTGAGAACGTGTATGACTGGCCCAAGGTCACTGAACAAGCTCCCATGGCAGTCAGAATGTGAACCTCTGCCACTAGGGTTGACAGCCCTCTGGTGGTGAAATTACAACCCTTAATTAAAAAAATTATTATAAGTTTTATAGAATTTTAAAGAATTTTATAATGTATTATATAGGTACAACTCTATCCTTCTACCAACAAGACTAGAAGTTATTATTAAACATTGCCACATAACATTCTCAAAACGCAATTCAAAAGTGTCTGATATACTCTAGAATTCATACAAAAGGTAAAGTTCATCAAAGTCTGGAATTATACAATATAAAGATCCTCCTTTATGTGTCTTTGCTGCTGCAAGGAAAGTGATCCAAGAACTTCTTCATTCAAATGTCTTGCAAGAGAAGCAATCAAGGTATCTTGCTGTAGTAAGAGAAGTGATCCGAAGCGATCTGATGGCTCCCCGAATATATAAGCCATTTCCAGCCTTCTTTCTCAAAAATCGCTTAAACAATTCCTTGTGTGAATCATTCTATGGAACCAATCTCCATCTTCATACCAAATATTTTCACTTTTCCCATGGGATTAAGGTTCGGATTACCCCTCAAATTAATTTACATGTTTCCCAAAGGCTCATGGGGATGCCCATGACCTAGGTGGTATACAGCAGGACTGGGCTAGCAGAAAGGGGGATTGTTGGAGATGTATTGAAGGTGCCACTCTTAAGTGCCCTTCCAAGCTTTCTCGTCCTGTGGAAGGAAACTCAAAAGGCATTTAAATGCCCTCTGAGCTGTTTTTTCCCTAGGAACTGGCATGCTCGCTGCCCTACTCCTTGAAAGGAAGGGCTAGAAACAGGCTTGGAGCCTCCCCCTTTAAATACAGGCATTCAGATAAATTTAATTAACTGTAATTTAACTGCCCCCTTAAAAATTTAAATGCCCCCGAAACAAAAAAATCCCGGCTAGGGGCCTGCATTATTGCACTAACTTGTGTAAAGGGCCCATCCTTGAACATGCCAGTTAATGTAGACAGCCCTCCGCTGCACACATTTCAGAAGGATTTTCATTTACTGTTGAGTAAGCCAGATAACACAAATCTAAAGATTAGGTAGCAGGACCTATAAGTTTGAGAGTTTCAGGTTTTCTGGGAGGATTGCACACCACCACCTATCTTTTTGTAAGTTAATTTCCACTTGCATGGGAGTTTTAATATACAAGGCACATTACAACCTTTAGTTTGTATGCCTTCAAAGACAGAGGTTAGCATCCCCACTTTTGGAAATGAAAGTATGGCTGAGACCCATCCAATGAGCTTATGGTTGAACAAGGATTTGAAACCACATCTGCTAGCTCAACAATACTGTTCATTGTTTTATCAGAATTCATGATGAAGATGTTATTTTTAATAACTACGAACATATCCTCTATTAGGTGAAGCCATTCAGGCTGTAGCCTTCCAGACAATTACATAAGGGTTGCCTCCGTCCGATTGTTGTTATCAGAAGATAATGTAGACACTAAGGGAAAACTGTGGTTTGGCTGTGATCAAGCATGTGTGAAATCACTAAATAACACTAGGTATTATTTGGTGCATCAAAATCACATTGCAACTAAATTATCCACACTTTTACCAATGGAAACTCCACCATTCGTCGAAACCAAATGGACACAAGTATGAAGTCACATTTTTAAAATATCTAATGCTGGGGGTGGGGATCACCATGCTCAGATGCTAAATTTATAGCGATCCATTGAAATTTATGGGATTAAACCCTCCTAGAAGTTCTGCTCATCCAGTGCTATGCCTTGCAAATTTTTAGGATGAAGATACACATTTTAAATCTGCTTGCTGTTGTTGATATGTCATATTAGAATAGGTGAAGAGATGCCTACAGGGACACAGCTGGGGGGGGGGGGAGCAAGGATTAGCTAGTCAATGAAGATGTAAACAAGCCAGTTCTGAAGGCAGCCTGGTTTCTGACACTGTAAAAGCTTAAATGGTTTGCTGCAGAAAAACATGTGAAATAATTGGGGCAGGCTGACATCTGATGACTTCAGTTTTCAATAGCTGCTACCCTTCCAGCAAACTGTCCTCATTACAGAGAAGGTTACTTTTAAGCCATCACCACGAAGATTGCAGGCAACCAATACTGGTATAAAATTCAGATATAATTCATTCCAGCTACAAGGTTTATTTATACCTTCATTAAAAGGATAACCAATATATATTAGAATACAATAAACTTGTACTTTGAAACTCAAGCTGGCCATAAAGTAAGCTTTAAATTAAACCTCTTCCAGTATCTGTTCAGTGCTGTTGTTTCAAACCATCATTTATCAAGCAATTTGCAAAAGTCACTTTTATGAGGCAAGATAACATGGCAGGGATGCATGGGGAGCCTTGTGAGCAATGGGGCCAATCAACATGGCAGTCTTTGGTACCACAAAAGAACAAAACAATTCAATGGAACGAAACCCAGACTAGGTGGAGGACACAACAAGGGGGTTTAGAATGAACTGGTCAGAGCAAAGCGTTATACTTTAGGCTGTCCTCCAACAACTGGAGGTGGAAATACATAACAAGGACTCCAGAGCTGCAAGTCCTTTTTCAAACATCTCTTTGCATGCATTCAGACCCAAGCAAAATGTAACACATGCAATGCTTGGTTTGGAAGAGGGAGATTTGGGAAAAAAACCCCTCAACTCAGGTACAAAGCAGTCTAGATGATTTAGGGAAGCCTAACCAATGTCATAAGATGTGTATGCTATCTGGAACTTCTTGGAGGAAAAGAGGAGACAGGTGAAAAAGACAAATATATATTGAATCCACATATAATTGACAGGAAAGATGATTAGCCTAGCTAAAAGTAGATTTTTTTTGCTGCTTAGATACATAAACTATTGTTATTTGGGGAAGGGGTGTCCTGGTTTGTCACTATAATCGAAAGAGCTATAAAGGAGAGAGAGAAATTGAATGATGCAGTAGTAAAATAACCCCTGAACTGGTAAAATCAATGCTTACATTTTTTAAAAATGTCACAAACTGGTCAGAAGGGGGTGGGATTATCAGTCAGTCACAAGCAGTACTGCATAGATGCCAGAGATGCTTGCCAACCACATTTCAGAGAGCAGCCTTAAAATGCAGTGGTTATATCAAACTGACGAATTAACTGCGTATTTGCTGTGGTCATACATTGTACAATGAATACTGGTAAAATGTAAAGGTGCTGGGACTTTTTTTTAAGGAAAGGTGTTTTCAACTTGCACAAAGAAATCAGAAACCAGGTACATGAAGCTTAATAAATTGATGGGAGGAAAAAGCACTAAGAACTCGAGCTGTCTGCACACCTTCTTCACTTGTCAGTGATGGATTTCAGTAGTCAGCATTATATACTCAGTTGTCTTTAGCCCAAAAGAATACCTCATGTGCTAAGTTTCAGTCTGTCACAAGCACTGTGCAAAAAATTCCCAGATAGTCTCTATGCTTTCAGCTCGCTAGCTTTCCATTTACAACTTGTTCTTGTGGACCCAATGTGGAACCTTTTTTTAAAAAAACTAAGAGACCTATTTGCATCAATACCCAACACTGCAGACCTTAACAATGCATACCCTGATGCTCTCTCCGCCTGCAAGTCTTGCAT